GACTGCACCTCACCCCTTTTGCTAAATGCAGCATTCCCGTCTTCTCTTCTCTCCTTTTCTCTCCCGCTAACACTCGACCCCCCTAAAAAAGACAGCACTGCCCTCATGTGCTGAGAGAACAACTTAGAACCCACCTTCAACTCTGTACTATTCCACTCGCAGCTAGCAACTCCATTTCTTCCTAGCCCAACTCAATCCAACCAGAACATCACGCTCCCCTTTTGCCTGGCCCTTAACTAGAGAACCAATGTCAAAAAAATACACAGTCCAAAACAAACATGCTCTCCTTTTGCCTGGCCCTTGAACTAAGAGGAACCAGTGTCAAAAAAATACTCAGTCCAAAACAAACATGCTCTCCTTTTGCCTGGCCCTTGAGCTAAGAGGAACCAGTGTCAAAACAATACTCAGTCCAAAACAAACATGCTCTCCTTTGGCCTGGCCCTTGAGCTAAGAGGAACCAGTGTCAAAACAATACTCAGTCCAAAACAAACATGCTCTCCTTTTGCCTGGCCCTTGAGCTAAGAGGAACCAGTGTCAAAACAATACTCAGTCCATCTCAAACATGCTCTCCTTTGCCTGGCCCTTGAACTAAGAGGAACCAGTGTCAAAACAATACTCAGTCCAAAACAAACATGCTCTCCTTTTGCCTGGCCCTTGAGCTAAGAGGTACCAGTGTCAAAAAAATACTCAGTCCACGTCTCCGAACCTCATGCCGGCAGACCAACCCTCTGACAATGTACCAGTCCATCTTAGTGAGGCCCTGGACATTACAACCGTACTCTCAATCCCGCTCATGACAGCAACTCAATCCCGCTCATGACAGCAACTCAATCCCGCTCATGACAGCAACCACTACTCAACGCACATCTCTGACCTAACCATCTCTCCAATCCCCTCTGCCCTACTCACAACTCCTCCAACTCACCCCCTACAACCTGCCTTTTCTCATTACCATGCACCCTAAACTGCAATCGGTCGGCTTCGTCTTGTCTCTCAGCTGGAGGGCTCGATCAACCTCTCTGAACTACTTACGTACCCCTATATTTCCCACTTGGACCTCACACTTCCTTGACTGCTGGACGTGTGCCTGACATTCACCCCTTGTTTCCTCCCTGAACCGTTGAATGTGTGCCTGAGACTCCCACTTGAACCTGTTTACCTGTGCTTGATAATCCCTCTTTCGGTCTCCGAACTCCTCTCTCAGCTGCACCAATGTCCCGCGGCCGTCTCTCTTCCTCCTCATACACATCTCTACTGTCAAGCCTAACCAACTCAGTCCGGGCACAAGGATGAGCATCAGTGCGAGTTCAATCCCTACCATTGCTAACCAACACATGATGGCGTTCATTATCCCAACCACAGTACTATCAGTCACGACATTAAAAACTACGCTCTGCTACCATTTGTAACCGGTCGGAATTTGCTGGAGTTTAATTTCTCACTTGACTTGGGGTTTATTAAAATTTAATAGATGGTAAAGGCAGTGGAAGCGCCCCTTTGAGAAAAATCCCGAACCAGCACAAGAACACTTAAATCTACTACACAAAATGAACTGTCCGTGACCCGTGGAAGGATAGCGTCTGTGACTGGGATGAATGAGACACACTGTAAAATTTAGACACTTATATTCCCTCCAACACTACAAACACAATCAAATAATGGTACACCAATATGCGCACCTCTTAACTTAAACTTTAACCACTACTCTGGGGAATAAAAGTTATACATGACATAGAAATTATTAGAAACACAGGCAACAATAAATTTAAAGTATTAAGAAATGTTAATTGCACATATGAACAGGCCTTAAGGGCTTTCACAAAATAATATCAGTCACTTAGGAAATGGTACTAAAAAATAAGAAATTAAATACTCCACAATGAATAGGCCTTAAGGGTCTTCAACAAAATAATATCAGTCACTGAGGAATGGTAATAAAAGATAAGAAATTAAATACTCTACAATGAATAGGCCCTAAGGGCTTTCAGCAAAATAATATCACTCAACAAAATTATAGCACCCCAACAGGTGTACACTTCCTAACCTAACCTAACCACTGCTCTGGGGAACAAGGTTATACCTGAGATCAGAATTATGAAGAATTAGAGGCATTAAAAGAATCAAATCACAGTATCACTCTGGTTCCACTTAATGGCACAAACATTCAAAAAAACACTACTATCAAAATTATTTAAGAAATATTAAACTACACACGTCAAGATAATATCAGTCTGAGGAATGGTGTTAACTACACCCGTGATAAGGAAGATAAAATGTTCCTCTAGGTATCTCCTAGAGTCCTAGACTCACGGTCTCAGTGTGTGACCATTAATATACTCAGATAGCCTCAGTGTACTCCCAGTGCGTCCATGGGCAGGAAGAGAGTGAGCCAATCAGACCTTGCGCAGTTGAGAGAAACTTTAGCTTCCCGTTAGCAAGAGGGTTTCACTAGCTGCTCGGGACATGTGGGGTTGTGCACCGGAGTGGTAAGAACTGATCACCCACTGCTGATGCTGGTCCCGTGTCGTGTTAGTTGTCGGGAGCACTCGTTCACTCAAGAGATCCTTTGCTACCCCGCTAAACAGTGACAGGCCTACACTGATCGGTCCAATGGCGACAATCGCCACCCTCAATCATCAACGGCAGTCAATCTCTCGCAGTCAACTCCGTCAACTCCAGTCAAGTGGGTTCTGACGGAAACCCTGAAATGAACTCACTGTTAGCTCTAGTTAACTTTACCACTGCCCTATCTAACCCTGTCTGAGATCGAATGAGACTTACTTGTTATACTGCAATAGCGCAGCACAGGTGACTAGGCCACGTGACTATTTCTGATGGACGCGCGGAACGTCTTGTCTGTGTGAATGCTCTCCGGGACTGGGCCTAGCCAGCGTCGCGTCTCCTCAAGGCGTTAGCTTGGTCCTACGTGATATATTTACCGCCTAACTAATAACTCCTTGGGACACCCGTAACATTATTCAGACTGCTAAACGATCTATAATAATTTCAAATTCAATAATAGTCCCTTAACTTCATGAATCGCATCATTATTAATTCGGTAAATTACATTTAATATCATATAGGCCTAGTTCCGCAGTCTCTCGCTACGAGCAGGCAGCGCTCCCTCCCCTCAGATGACCTTGAACGCTCAGTATCACTCATGGCGGGGCATTTGAAATTACTCTGAAATTTCTGGATATTACATATATATATATATATATATATATATATATATATATATATATATATATATATATATATATATATATATATATATATATATATATATATATATATATATATATATATATGTAGAGAGAGAGAGAGAGATTGGGACCCAGAATATATATATATATATATAAATATAATCAACAATCTCACCCTGCCAGGACTTGAACCCACGATCTTATGTGTATGACCGAGGAGCGTTACCTCTAGACCACTAGGACACTTAAAGCAATCCTAGACTTCGTTATATTTCACACAAAGCCTGTTCATCGAGCTTATGGCGCCGTGAACCTCCAATAGGGGACTACCCGTGCCTCGTAAGTGATCAGAGTAACGTTTTACCAAATCCGGCTTCGAAAAACGAGGTTCCATATATATTGTCAAGGACAATCCGGAGGTTTGTGAGGTTGAAAATTTGGGAACCATTATGCTAGGTCACAAATTTGTCCAAGATTCAACTCTCGGTCCTAGTAATAACGTTTTCCCAGTACTTCCGCCAAATTCATCCATTCCAACTAACAACCCAAATTACATACTTGCCTGGTGTTTTCTGTTCTTTCAGGGCCCCAGAACCTAATGGTATCCCACCCTTCTTCCTAAAAAATGTGCATCTGAATTTGATTCTGTCCTCTCCGAACTTTACAACCTTCCTAAAACTTATTGTTCCTAAATCTTGGATTATAGCTAATACCCACCCTATCTCTTCCAGTATCGACCCACAGCACTCACCTCGATCACATCCAATCATGGAATCTGTCATAAACAAACAATTATTCAAACACTTTAAAAACACGAACTCCTCCGTGATATCCAGTATAGTTCAATTTCAAAAGTTTATTCCTTGATAGAGGAAGCGGGATCCTAGTGCTGACACTAGGTACCCCTGCACAATAACACCAGAAGCATCTGGCAGGTGTCACAAGTATATACAGTATAAATATTATAAAGGGGCTTACTAAAGCCTAAGGAAGGAAGGATATTATTTTAACACATTATCAATATTACTTACATAATATCTAGCCAGTATGGGGAGGATAATCGTGTCTCCGTCAGGGGGTCGTGGAGTGGTGGTCCAGCAGGCATCACGGAAGCGTTGTGTGTGGGGACATCTTAGGAGGTAGTGCGGCTGTCGGGTCTTCTGCATAATGCACAAGAGTGTTGCTCGGGGGATGCGGGGATACCAATCTCCCAAGCAAAGACATACCCAATGATGATACAGGTAGCAATCACGTCCCTTTTCCGCGACCCTTTCCCATAGACATACGAGAGGTCAGGAAGTTTACGGAGGACATCTTACCAGGTGGGCGGGGAGTCCAGGGGGATGGCTGCTTCTCGAGCTTCTCTCTGTTTGCGGCGAATTTGGGTCCTAAGTTGTAAAAGGGTATCCATAGGAATGTCACAGGACGGCCTGCATCCTGAAGTGTGGATGTTAACCCTCCAGTATAGTGTCCATTATAGAGCCGTTTGACCGAAACCTTATTTATTTTCCTGACAAAAACGTGAACTTTACTCTAGGTGCTCTATTACTACTGATGCAGTAAGAAAAGTAGCCCACAATGCTGTTGGTGTAACAAGACATAGTACTCACCACCTGGTACTATATTACTACTGGTGCAACAAGACACAGTACTCACCACTTGGTGCTATATTACTACTGGTGCAACAAGACTCAGTACTTACCACCTAGTGCTATATTACTACTGGTGCAAGAAGACACAGTCCTCACAACCTGGTGCTATATTTCTACTGGTGCAACGAGACACAGTACTCACCACCTGGCGCTCGCCACGACCCTTGAGGGCGGCCACCTCCACTTTGAGCAGCCTCCTGATAGTGTTAAGCAACTGAGGGCCGTCTGCCCCGTGGATCACTGTCATAGGCTTTCCGGACTGCTCGATGAAGCAGCATGGTAATGAAGAAAAATAGAGGTGAAGCAACATGGTTATGGGAAAGAAAAACGAGGGAAGCAACATGATTATGAAGAAGAAAGAGGGGTGAATTAAAAGGATTATGCAAAAGAAAACGAGTAAAGTAACATGTTTATCAGAAAGACGATTGAAGCAACATGATTATAAAGAAGAAAGTGGAGTGAAGCAATAGGGTTATGAGAAAGAGAGAAGTGAAACAATATGGTTATAAGAAATGAAGACGAGTGATACAACATGATTATGAGAAAGAAGGAAGGGTGAAGCAACAGGAATATGAAAGATGAGTGAAGCAACATGATTATGAGGAAGGAAGATAGTTAAAGCAACAGGGTTATGAGATACTGTTATCGCCACTGGCTTCAGATACAGTGCTGGCCTTGTGATGCCATTAAATCTTTCGACCTGAGACCTCGCCAGATGTAGAAGTGTTTACAGACAAGTCCTGGTTCTGCTGAGTGGACTGTCTTCGACTGGTGGCGGTGCTGCCGGCCCCGCCATGAGACAGATCGCCCTCTCTAGTGATGCTGTGAAGACCAGCCTTCTGCTCTCACTGGTGAACACCGACTTACAATCCTGTCCGAGAATTTGTGCTGGGACAATTTACGCAATACTGTTGTCTCTTGGAACACCATACTGATCTGCATTTGACCCACACTTGTAAGTACAGCCTAAGTGATGACATACCCCTCGGTACTGAAATATTGTTGACTAATTACGCCTACTCGTTTCTGCCCTATCTGGAATAATAAGACAATGCAGAATGAAGCGTAGCTAAGAGTTACGAACTTTGTGTTATGTCACTATGTTAAATAAATTGTAATTAAGAAAATATTGTGTGAGACTCACTAATTATGTATCAGATGGATCACCGTGCAAAATTATGAACATCTCCTCTGCAGGTTTTGACCACATCAATAAATATTGAATGCGTCAAAAGACGGGTTTCAATCATTCCCTTCGACTTGTCCGTCACCTGAACGTCCTTAACCAAGGCGTTTACAGTAAAAACAAATACGGGAGGGCGTCGAAGAGAATTCTCGACCGCAAGGAGGACTACAGCACGTGACGCCGCCACCGCCGGGTGTGCAACGTGGGACATCGCCCAGCTTCCCACAGTGGGTGCAGCGTGGAGTCCACCCACAGTGGGTGCTGCGTGAAGACAGGGATACGGAGTGCGAGTGCTGTGTGTTTGAGTGAAGTGTTTAAATACCCGGACAGTGTCATAAAGCTTCGGTTTGCGCGTACGGAGATGTGAGCGTTCCTTTCGGACAATGAGCCCGCCCACCCAGTGAGCAAAGGTTTCAGAACACCCGGACAGTGTCGTAATGTTTCGGTCTGGGCGAACGGGCTCTTAGCGTTCGCTCGGACACGCAAGTTCACACCTCTCTTGAGAGTACAAATGTCTGTCTGTGTACGCCAGTAATTATAACGAACAGCTCATCCGCCTACACCAATGACGTACCGTGGTGCACTGATGAAGCATACAGAACACCTACTTTTACTTTTATCCTCTTCACCACTAATCGGCTCGTTAGCCGCTTGGGCGATCGGTCACGTCTCTATTACGCACTGTTGGCAAGTACTGGGAATGCACCGGCTCCTGAATGTACCTGAACCTGCTCCAGTGTTGGTCAAGTCTTCTCTTGAAAGAGCTCACACTCGGTGCCGTCACAACACTTTCTGGCAGATTGTTCCAAGAGATCACAATTCTCACTCCGACAAAGTTTGCCTTCACAGTTTTCTGGACTTGCGGCTTCTTCAATCTTGAGCTGTGACCCCTTGTGGGGCGAGCTTCCGCCAGGTCCAAGTAAGGACACTCGACTGAGTAGTGCCCCTTGAGATGCTTATACACCTCAATTAGGTCACCCCTTGCCCGTCTGTAGTATAAGCTAGTCAAGTTCAGGTGCTCCAATCCCTCAGGGTAGCTGAGGTGCCGAAGTGCAGGCACCAGTCTGGTGGCTCTCCTTTGAACATTTCCAACCAACTGACAGCCCCTAGCATATCTCGGGAGGCAGATGGGGTGACAGTACTCCAGATGGGGAAGCACTTCACTCTTGAAGATCGTTACAAGGGACGGACCATCTAGATATCTGAACGACAGCCTCTTAATTCATAAGATACACCAAAGATGTTAGTGAACAGTAATCTTGAAAGAAGATTGCACTATGAGATTCAATACACAGACAATTTAGTCGGAGTTAATTTGTTACAGTTTGACATAACCGTGATCCAAGGTCGTAAATACGGGTGTGTATTAAGAAATGTTTAGTATATTATTTGAATGATACCAGTTTCCGTTTTCTATGTACGAAAAGGTACGAAACTGGTTCGTGGAACACTTATCCAAAGGTAGTAAATAAACTAATTCATCATAACAAATACAATTAGACCAAATGTGAGATGATACTCGCCCATGTTATAAGGAGCCTTACATAGTGGTTGCCCGACGAGAATCTCAGAAGTACTCATCGGTGTATAATCCTTCTGCTTTCACTACACGATGGTGCCAAAATGACCATATCAGTTGACCTGTCATCCTCCTCGCCTTTTCTACTGCATCAGCAACAAATTATTATGTTACTAACCTTACGTAAAATAAGGAAATTGTTACCGCCACAGTAAGATAAACTAGAAGAGAAAGAGAAAGGGAGAAAGGAGAAAGACAGTGCTGACAATGAACTTTGCTGAGGTGTTTAATGTGCATGCCGACCAAATGTTAAGTGAAGAAACTGTTTACAACATCAGAATAGCTTACTAAGCGAGATGGAGCTGGTAGCAGATGTGTGACTGTCTGAGGGACAGTCTATCGCCTTCTACTGTAAAGGCAACATCAGGATTCTCATCAGCCAATATCACCAGCAGGACATTAGATTTGTTCTCGTTAGTCTGACCCTAGACCCCAAAACGTGAGTGTGATTGTGAACTGTTGAAGCCTCTGAGAACTTTAAATAACTTTGATAAGTGTATTTATGTACTGTATATTGATCATATTATACAAACTGTGTCCTGATGTATCAGCAGTTGTAACATGTGAGCTATATTTAAGAGGTTAATAGGTTATGTACTGTATATTGATCGTACTATTCAAACTGTGTGTCCTGATATAACAGCATTTGTCATATGTGAATTGTTTTTTAACAGGTTTTGACCGAATTATACTCATCGCGTCAACGACGAGGGTCTTATTGTCCTGCACAAACCAAAATCGCTCCTATGACCGATTATAGTCAAAACATGGAATAGGACCATTGTGGAAGCAGCTGAGGATCGCGTCATCGCAGGGAGCGGAAAGAAGAGGATCTTTGTCAGAAAAGACTGAACGTCGTGTCAATATTGTTCGAACGATCGTGCGCGAGTGTTAGTGTTCATTGTGGATAGCCACACTGGCAACCGCGTGGAACTGTTGTCAGAAAAGACTGGTCTCGGTGCCAATACTGTTCGGACAAGTGAGCGGGAGTGTTATCGTTCATTACGGAGAGGCCGCGAGGACCCGTGCACTTTCTGTTAGAAAAATAACGTTGTGTAGACAGCTAGGTAACGTTGTGTAACGTTGTGTAAATAAGTAAGGGCTGGAGAGATAGTGTTTCTGACATCAGTTGTGTAATGAGTCCCTACATTGATTGTGGGGTCTCTGTGACCGTGTTAAGTGTGACATCACTTTTGCGTATGGCACGTTACGTATTTGAGGGATATCATTCGTGAGCATGGCACGCGCTTGTGTGACGTCACACGCGCGTATGGCATGTTTGTAATAAATAATAATAATAACAATTAACGGTTTATTAAAAAAGTTCTGCAGCCCGAAGGCTGAAAATATACATTGGACATAAATGACTTATTGCATACATTGGTGGTTTAACAAAAGCCTTCATTAGAGAAAGGTAAAGGAACATACAGTGAGCATACAGATTAATGTAGGTGTTGAACAGCAAACATGTAGTGTAGTAATTCCCTCACATATGGTGTTATGAAGGACCTCACGTGGTGTAGTAACTCCCTCCCAGATGGTGTTATGAGGGGCCTCACTTGGTGTAGTAATTCCCTCACAGATGGTGTTATGAAGGACCTGACGTGGTGCAGTAATTCCCTCACAGAGGGTGTTATGAGGGGCCTCACTTGGTGTAGTAATTCCCTCACAGATGGTGTTATGAAGGACCTCACGTGGTGTAGTAACTCCCTCCCAGATGGTGTTATGAGGGGCCTCACTTGGTGTAGTAATTCCCTCACAGATGGTGTTATGAAGGACCTGACGTGGTGTAGTAATTCCCTCACAGATGGTGTTATGAGGGACCACGTGGTGTAGTAATTCCATCACACATGGTGCTATGATGGGCCTCCCGTAGTGTAGTAATTCCCTCACAGATGGTGTTATGAGGGACCTGACGTGGTATAGTTATTCCCTCACAGATGGTGTTATATGAGTGAGGTGTGGTCCCAGTCCTTCCTATCGTAGACGGATTAACACATCACTGGTTGTTGTTAGGTCTCACGGGCCGTTATCACTGGGTATCTGGGACCTCACTGTGTGAAGGTTAAGTTGGGTACGACTGTTACTGTTGAGTTGTTCTCACTGACTTAAGCACTGTTCACCACTGTTCACCTCTGTTTAACACTGGTTCCATTCCTTTCCTAAATGAAATTGTAACTTCTGGCGAGAACTTGTTGATATTCCGGTGGGGAGGAGGGTTCAGGGGAGGGAGTTGGTATGGGCCAACTTAACAGTTGATCTGGCTGCTCCGAGAAGAGCGCCAGGTACGTCTTGACCCTTCGGAAGTCACTCGTGCGTATGGCACTGTTTGTGTGACGTCATTCGTGTGTATGGCACTGCGTGACGTCACTCGTGCGTATGGCATGCGTCAGTGTGACATCTCCAATTGTGTGATATCAGCGATCGTGGGACGTCACCATGAGTAGTAGCTGATACTAAGCGTTACTGTCGCGTCACACCCACCCCGCCAAGG